AGTGAAAAGGGGGGAAAAGATCGATTGGTTGGTTGGTTGGTTGGGGGGACATTGCATATGGGCTGATGGGAGTCGGTGCGAGGTCGCATGGCGTTGCGCCGCGTTGGCGCGCCATCGATTATCGCCGACCGCGTCCAGTGGCCCTATTTTTACACCGAAGGACGTGCCACCGAAGGGGTGCGAAAACGTCCTACACAGCGGAAACTATACCCAAGGCGCTTAGCTCGTGCCGACGTCGATCGCCGTGGTCCAGCAGGAACGTCGGATTACGTTTTCACGCGCTTGTACTTCATAATCTTGGCGCGCCGCGCTTCTTTTTGCTTTTCATGCGCGCGCGTACGCAGGGACATGAGCCTGTACTTTCGCGATTTTCGCAAGTTTTGGCGGTACTTTTTCTTGGCTTCGAGGTATTTTCGCATATCGTATATTTTCTTTTTGGCGGGCGCCTCTACCGGTTTGACGCTCTTCGCGTCCTCGACATCGGCCTGGGACACCAGCTGGGTCCTCGCAAATTCGTCTCGAAAGTACGAGTACAGAGGCGGTGAGCGCAGCTGACACTCATCGGTGGAGAGATTCGATAAATTTTCATCCTCGGGAGGGATAAAGGTCGGAAAAGGCGGGAGGCCGCGGTGCTCATTCCACAAGGTGTAGCCCTTTGTGTTGATCGTATCACTCATCTTGACGTACGCCCCGACGTCGGCGTCGAGAAGGGTGGGGAGGAAAATGAGGGAGTTTTTGTAGTCGATTCGCCAGATCGGGACGCCGTGGTAGGTTTCGACGGCGGCGCCGGTCTGGCCTGCCATTCGATGTCCCGGATAGATTCGGCCCTGGCCCTCGCTCCCCATACACCCCGGGCGGCGTTGCCACTTGGAGTCCCCGAGCCAAACATAGCCTCCATCAAAGCCATGGCGAAACATCACCCCCTTAAAGCCGTAGTCCGTGTTTTGGAAACTCAGGTCGACCTCCTGGCCGGGTTTGAAATGCCGCACGTCGAGCTTCGTCCCGATTGGGGCGTAGGCGTCCGGGGTGATGGGAAACCCGGCGGAGACGTGTTTAATAGGGACCCCGGCGGCTTTATAAAAGGCCGAGACGTGCGGCTTGTGAAATTCCACCGGGACGTTCATCGCCCCGACGTACACCTTGTCCGTCCCCACTTGCCCTTTGCGGCAGCCATGCTGGACGACTTGGTTATCGGGGAACCAGAACGCGGTGCAGTCGAGCTGGTTCCCAAACTCGTCGTACTCCTTGCTGGTGAAGACCTTAACCCCGACCATCCCAAAGCGAACGCTGTAGAATTGGTTGAATTGCCCAAACGGCGGTGGGTGATCCCACGCCCGGGTATCCTGATAAAGCTCGGGAAACTTCTCGCGAAGCCGTCGAAAGGCGTCGTACTTGTCCTCCCGAATCGCGTCGTAGGTCGTCTGGAGCTGCTCAGGCTGCCATTCCCGAGGATTCTCCGGGATCTTCGGATACAAACTCATCGTCTCCCCGCCGTCGAAGAGGTAGGGATAATAGCAATGGTACATATCGCGCTCTTTTTCCCGCATCAGGGATGGATAGCAGCGGTACCAGTCCGTGCGAATCCGACGGTCGCCTGGGCCATTGCCCGTGCGAAAGCGCATTTGGACGGCGGGGGTGAAGCTGGGGTGGGGACTCCGACAGGAACCCCCTCGCCAAAGGTGGGGCAGCGTCGAGCGAGGAAAAGACATCAAATCCCCTCTTTTTTCTCCTCCCTCCTTCCTAAAAGTCCTAATGGAGCGGTCTGGACTAAAATCTATGTGTGACTACTTGACATACACCTCACCCACCCATGCAGTTCAATGGGTGGTTGTAAAAATAAACCCCAGAGAAAGAATAGCGACGATTTGGGAACGACTAATTAGCGTGCAAAATTTAGAGAATTCGGTGAGAAAGCACCCACCTAGAGCTGCGGCGGGATCTCACTCCCGTCATTGACGCAAACATTGAGAGTACGCATTGAAAAAATATCAAGAGGAATAGGTCCCCCTCCCTGCGGGAGATTTCTATTTTATTTTATCCTGTTCGTTTGAATCTCGCACAGAGGGGTCATACTGCGATGTGATTTCAAACATCTGGCGCTCGATTTGGGATCGATAAGGGTGCGGCGCCTCCATGAGGGTAAATAAAGTCCGAATCGTCGCCTGATCGCGATGGAACCGCGTGTTTTTCACCGTCGACTCGGGAATATCGGTGCGAAGCAGCTGAACCTCAAACGGGGAATGCTTAAACCACCGATGTGGGAAGGCGCTCCAACTCGCCCGCTCGATCCACCGTCGGTAGCGATGCACGCCATCGAGGCGCCAGTCTCGATAGCCGCGCCCCGCACTTTCCAAAAGACGGTCCATCAGTGGCTTGTTCAGCAGCTGTAAAACTTTCTCGCAAAAC